CATCTAGTGATAGTGATGGTATCACTATGACAACTGTTAAATGGGTAATTGAGGGGATATGCAAACCATTATCTCATGTTTTTAACATGTCGTTTCGACTTGGGCAGTTCCCCAATAATATGAAAATAGCAAAGGTTATTCCATTGTATAAATCTGGGGATAAGCACAACTTCACAAATTATAGACCGGTTTCTCTGTTGTCACAGTTTTCAAAAATCTTGGAAAAACTCTTTAATAACAGATTAGACACATTTATTGATAGACATAAAATCCTCTCTGATTGCCAATATGGTTTTAGGTCAAACCGATCGACATCGCTGGCCATTACTGAGCTAATGGAGGACTATGGAGTGCTATGGATGAGAGGAAATACACGATGGGAATATTTATTGACCTAAAAAAAGCATTTGACACAATCAATCATGAGTTATTAATGGATAAGTTAGAAAAATATGGGATCAGGGGATTGGTTTTGAATTGGATTAGAAGTTACTTGACACAGAGGCGTCAATTAGTGAAGTTGGGTGAATACCAATCGAGTGAGCTGGACATTGTATGTGGAGTGCCTCAGGGTTCTGTTTTGGGACCTAAATTATTTATACTATATATTAATGATATATGCAAGGTTTCTGATTTAGTGAAAGTGGTTTTGTTTGCTGATGACACTACCATATGGGCATCGGGTGAAAACCTACAGCAACTATCTGGATGGGTTACACAGGAACTTGAGAAGATAAAGAAATGGTGTGACAGTAATATAGTATCTCTGAATTTGGATAAAACTAAATTCATGGTATTTGGGAATCGCAGATTAGACAATGAACTTCAATTGATTATTGGTGGAGCAAAAATAGAACGAGTACATGAAATTAAATTTCTATGTCTCATAGTTGATGACAAAGTTTCCTGGAAATCGCATATTAGATATGTTCAGAATAAAATAGCAAAAAATATATTGATATTGGCATGGGTGAAATATATTTTGGATGAGAAAGCATTACGCATTTTGTATTCCTCATTGATTCTACCATACTTAGAGTATGGCGTTGAAAACTGGGGAAATACATATAAAAGCTCACTTCAACCATTGTATATATTACAAAAAAGAGCGATAAGAATTGTGCATAAGATGGGGTATAGGGATCACACCAATGGAGCTTTCATACAGTCTAAATTGCTAAAATTTTTCGATTTAGTGGGATATAAGACTGCTGTGTTTATGTATAAAGCCAGGAACAATTTATTACCTGCTGGAATTCAAAAATTATTTAATGAAAGGGAAGGGGGATACAATTTAAGGGGTCAGTTAAATTAAAAAATTCATGTTATATGTACAACCAAAAAAAGATTTTGTATTTCCATAAGTGGGGTAAAACTATGGAATAATCTAAGTGTGGACATAAAAAATAGTAATAGAATTGACGAGTTTAAACATAAATATAAAGGTATGTGTCAATCAAGATATATGCAAGAACAGGCTCAATGATTATATTTTGTAACCATTCTTTAGTATATCAATTGTGTGATTTAAGAATGTTAACACTGTTATATTCTTTTTTTAGTATAATATGTGTGTGTGTAGAAGTGAATCATTTATTGCTTGCAAACCAATGATGGTAAGATGATGTCATGGGGTAGGACTGGATAAGTCTGACTTCTTCCTACTCCATTCAAGCATGTACTAGGTATAAGCAAATTGATATTGGATTGTGTGTAAAAATGTGTGTTGTTATATCAACTGTTGTATATGCTTGAAAGAATAAATCAAATCAAATCAAATATCGATCTATTTTCTTAAACAATAATCGACCATGGTAGTATCAATTATTGATTAATTGTTAACAATTTATTAGGTATATTCATTTATAGTAAAACAGTTTTAACTACTAACATGATCTAATATTTGCTGTAAAATATGAGTAAACTGGGAATTTGAAAATGAAGTAAATACTAAGTTACTTGAGTTACAAATGAAACAACAGAAAATAATGATGTTGTTTAACCCTGTGGAGCTTCCACTCCTACTTCAGCAACTAGTTATGTAAGACAGTACACACACCTTATGAGCTTAAGTGGCTTGTGTGTTGTTACAGTAGCAGCACATATGAAGAGGTGCTCTCTGTGGTTTTAAACTCCTCTCCCAGCCTGTGTTAACGGAGCCTGAGATAGCAGCTATGCTGGGCAGCCACCAGACAACAAGTCAGTAGAAACTTCATGCTGCAGTGTTCATTGTTAACACAGCAGCAACAATGTGAGCACAGAAAGCTGCCCTGCAGCAATTTTCTCTCACGTGGCAAGGAGGTGCATTCATTTTACAGTTGGTGCGATTCCTGCTCAGGCGCTCAGCTAACACTTAACTTTATCTCATTAAACAGCAAAAGGCACCTACACACCAGGCTACTACAGCAAACTACAAGACTTTTTTCTGACAGCTAACACTGCATGGCCTCATATTCTGTGTTGTCAGTTAATAGACATTTTCACTGATTATCAGTTAAGGACTAATGAATGTCCCTGCTGGAAAGCTGTTTTTCATTTCTAGTAGAAAAGTTGGTTAGCATGCATGGAAAAATGCTCCTGGCGAGTTTGAACAGAACAAGTTTTACTAGATGAAGTAAATTGTGGTAAATGGGGAGCAGGTTTATTGGTTGACTTTCCTCTGTCTAGACTTGAGACTGTGTAACAAACCAGTGTCTTTCACTCTTAATGCACCCTGATGCAGCAGTGTACATATTAAGGTGTCTATGAGAACATTTTCTTTTAATCCCTGATAGGCTAGTGGTTAAGGCGCAGTGCTCTCGCCGCTGTTCCCCGGGTTCGAATCAGGGTTACATCAGGAAGGGCATCCGGCATAAAACACATGCCAAATGTCAACATGCGAGTCATCAGTGTGACGATTCGCTGTAGCGACCCCTAAAACGGGAAAAGCTGAAAGTGACTTTCTTTACAAATTTGAGTTGACACTTCTGTTCTTTAATTTAGTATCGGTATCTGTGCTTGTACAGCAGGGTGTGTCTGCTGCCTGCCAAAGCCTCACCTTGCAGAACACTCCCACATTTCTTTGTGGGCAAGGCTCTTGATTGCCCTCCCATTTCCTGCATTTACAGCTTGCTTGCTTTCCCACCTGTCTCATTTCTCACCCTGCCTCTGTTTGACATTCTATAGGAGGCAGCATGATATGCACGTACACACAGCCATGCTCTCCTTATCTGATATAAACAAAAACAGCCTCATACACATGTACATGTAAAGCCACACAGCAGCAAGTTGGCTAACTGCTGTTTTTCTGACCTGCCTTTGTCTTCACAGAGCCTAAGAAGAAACTGTGCAAGGTGCTATTTGATTATCAACCACAGAATGAAGATGAGCTAGAGCTGAAAACCGGAGCCATCATAGACGTCACGGAAGAGGTACTTTTACCACTATCATTGGCTATATAGTAAATGTTCACAACATCTAAGCAGGTCATATTAAGTGCATCTCCTCACTTAATCAGAATCACATTTATTGGCCAAGTATGTTTAAACCCACAAAGGGTACCAGAGGCAGTCAGTAACACACAATTAACTGTGCCAAAGAATGGGACAGCATATGGAAACTCAGTACATGAGTTAAGAGATGTTTACCATTATTTGACCCAAAGAGGGGGGTGTCAGTCCATGCTCTCATAAATCTTCAGCAAGGCTCTCAGTATGTTTGTAAGTCAACAAGAAAATAGGAAAATATGTGCATTTAAAATAGGAATAGAATAGAAAAGAAAAATGAGTCGATGACATCAGTCTCATCAAGAGCTTAACAAAGGGGCCTCTTGAAGTGCAGTTTTTGGTGTACAGTGAGAAAAGCAGCAGGAAGAGCATATGTCTCTGGGGTGTGCCTGTGCTGTTTGGGTTTCTGGATGTGATTTTCCCCAGCCTCACCTGCTGCTTCCTGTCCATCAGAAAGCTGATGATCCACTGACAGGTGGGGGCAGGCACAGTGAGTTGTGTCATTTTAGAGTAGAGAATGTCCAGAATGATGTTTGAACACAGCTGTCGTCCAGAAAGAGGATCTGTGCATTTGACGCTGGGGAGTCAAGGTGTTGCAGGATGCAAAATAGTGCCGTGTTGACTGCATCATCCACTGACCTGTTCGCTTGGCAGGCAAACTGCAGGGAGTCCAGCAATGGGTCAACACCACTGACAGGTTTGTAGTCTCTCTGTCCATTTATGGAGGCTGTCTTTGGAACCAGGATGATGTTTGCGTTTGAAGCAGGATTCAACTTCACACAGCTCCAGTAATTATTTTTAGTAATTTTTTTTTTGAAGATCTGTGTGAAGATCAGCTGATCAGCCCAAGATTTCGGACAGGAGGGAGTCACACCATCTGGGCTTCGTGCCTTAACCCTGCTGTCATGTTGCAGGTCAGATTGACCCATTGTAAAGTTAAAAAATCTAAAAACAATAGTTAAAAGTATTTTATTGGTATGAAACTTCTTCTGCTTGGCTTAAAATGTGTAATCGACATATAAAATGAAAATGGTTCATTTCACATATTTGCAACCTCCCCTTGCATGTTTATATTACAAAGATACTGTTCGGGTCGATTTGACCCTGAACTGAATAGGTGTCTCATGTTAATTTATCGACATCACTTCATAAAAAGAAAAGATTTCAAAATAAAATAACATTTTTTAAAAAGTCATGTAAAAATGTATTTTATATGTAGGTCTTTCCAATGTACATTAAAAAAAGTTTGCATTTCTTATGAAAAATGAGTGCATTATCCTCGTTGAACCACAATCTGTGAGAGGTAAAGAACACTATTACACTAAATAGTGATTGAAATGGTTAATAATGGTAAAATTAACCCAGGAACATCACTGCTGTTCCTGGGTGTGAAATGAAAATAACAGGTCAGATAAGTCCCTCTTCTACCACCTGGTACCAGCTCAACTTGACTCAATTCTGTTTACCTTATTTGTTTTTCCATCAATCAAATGTTGATATCACCTCTGTTGAGGTTCCAAACTAGCTGAGGTGATACCAAAAGGTGACATGTAAAAACACTGAAGACTGCCAATTGGTCAGAGAAATTAATCACTACTACGTGGAGATCTTGTTATCAATGGGCCCGGAAGTATGACGCCAGTCACTTGTTCTTCATTCATTATTAACAGTAGCTGTCACTTACTGTATCTCTCCTGGGAGTTAGACAGGGTATAACCTATGGTGACAGAGGCCTGGAGCTTCTTCCTTGCTATATACTGCTTACTATGTACTCCATACTGTGTTCCAGAGTATACAGTAACTAGCTCCCCCTACATATTAAACTAGCCCAGTCCTCAAGTGTTAAGTCTCTGCTCAAGATGCATTTTTATGAATTGGCAAAAGCTTATTTGTTTAAAATTTTTCTTTTTCTTATAAATCTTGTTTCACTAATGCCAGTTCTGGCTGTACTAGCATTAGTGTGGAAAACAAAGCACCTGGTACCAAAAGTGAGTAGTTGAGTCGAGTTGAGCCGGTACCAGGCGGTGAAAACTGATCATATGTTTTTTTTTTTTAAAAGGGCATGCACATCCTTTTCAAAGATCATCAGGGGTGGGACAAAGTAGGAAATGAGTAGGCATAGGCATTTCAAGCTAAAATGCTATTCCATATTAGCTGGAAACTATTCAACAATTATTTGAAGATCATGGACAGAAGAGTCCTAGTCCAGCTGCTCCGTATTTCTAGCATTGTCTTGTGTGCATGCTATGACTTTACCTGTACGTCTCCAGTGTTCCACAGCAGTGGAAAGACGGGCTTTTAGCAGTATGCCCCTCTGGCATTGCTTTAGTCCGAAGAACAGCACTGTATTTTCCACTTGCTTATATAATGGCAGATGACTGTCACATACAATTCATTTGTAAGTGCTGTCCATACATCTGTAGTTAGACTCCTTTTCAACACTTGTCAAACGACCGTGCAGCTCACATGCATTATCATACAGTTTAGCCAATTGTGCCATGATAGTTTTTCTTGATGGCTGTAGTCTCTGCTGTTTGTATTTGGCACTTGTTACGGAGAACCGTCTATACGTATACTAGTTCAGACTCAGTAAAAAGGCAGAACTTGGACTCAGGCTTAACCAGGTAAAGGTATTTTAAGGACTACAGAAATAATGAGTGGTCAGAACCGGTCTCATCAGCTGATCTCAGGGCAGCGGGGAGTGCTGGGTTGACTGGACTGCTAGAGCTACAACCCGAGGTTGTAGGAGAGGCGCAGCTGGCTAAAGAAAAGCAGAGGATGAGAATGAGTAACAGTGACGCTAAGATTATGGCAATACTGATAGTATACTGAGGGCCTGAGTAGCAGAATTTACTGGCTCAAGTCAGGTGAATGCCATAGGCATGAAACACAGTCCAGAGGAGGTGTAGGAGCTGGCACAGGAGATCACTGGTCCGGCATGCAGTAGATGGTGAGGATCAGGCTCGCAGCGGACGGTAGAGCAGGTAGCAGGATGGTGTGAGGACGGCTGACAGTTGGGATCCAGAGCCAGGCAACCAGTCCCAGCAAGAGTTGGTCTCCTCGTCCTGAGGAGTGTCACCTAAAGAAACGGTTCATAATCCAGGCACCAAATGGTGCTAATACAAAAAGGCTGCAACCAACAAGCAGAGGGTATTTTGTTCTTTAACACTAGTCCACAGCAAAAACAGTTCAAACAGAAAGCGACCCTTCAAAAAAAAAAGAAGGGCATTCCGTTCATTACTACCTGAAATCAAGTCCAACAGCACAGAAAACAGTTAATACACAGGGAATCCTAGGCGGAGTTACTATGACAGCCTGTGCCAGCAGATGAGGTGCTGGGGGTGGTCAGGGCCACGGATGTAACAGCACTGTAGTAAAGTGATATACTGACCTCGTTATTGCATTATTTCCAGGCACCTGTAAAAACAAGGAAGAACAGTGGCTCTTTGATTTTAAAGACAAAATCATAGTTGCATGAAATACTCCTTTTTTTTTTAAATTTTATTTAATGACTATTTGAATATTTGAAAATCATTGCCTATTCCCAGAAGGGAGGTGATCATAGGGGGAGTAGGTGGTGGTTGTGGGTCCAAGCTAAGATGGGTAAGCTGTGTGGAGTTCTGCTTTTCAGATTGTCAATAATACACATTCAGGCCGTCTGCCCACAGCTCTCCACAGATGTTCTGTGGTCTTCTCCACACAGTGGCAGGGTCTTTGGCTGAAAACTGTTTTTTCAGCCTTTTAGAGTAGCTTCTCTTTGATACCCTAATCTCCTTTGTCAGTATGTTTCTGGCCTGGTTGTACAGGTTCCTGTCCCCACTCCTGTAGGCCTCCTTCTTAGTGTATTTGAAGCTGCCTGAGTCTTACTCTAAGCCAGGGATTGTTATTATTGTATGTCCAGAAGGCCTTGGTGGACATACACACCTCCTCACATAAACTGATGTATGATTTCACTGTCAAAAAGTTCATCCATGTCTGTAGAAGCAGCTTCAAAAACACTCCAGTCTGTACAGTCAGAGTAGGCCTGTAGCTATGACTTTGCCTCCTTGGTCCATCTCTTCACTGTTCTGGCCACAGGCTTTGCAGGTTTAAGTTTCTGCCTATAGGTCAGGATGAGATGGATCATGCAGTGATCAGAGAGCTTCGGGCTGCACGGTGGACAGAGTGATAGGTGTCTGTTATTACTGTGTAGCAATGACTCAATGTGTTTTTGTCCCTGGTGGGACAACTGACATGCTGTCTGTATTTGGGCAGTTCATGGGTGAGGTTTGCTTTGTTAAAATCCCCTAAGATGATGAGTAGGGGCTTCTGGGTGTTTGTCAGATAGGTATTGCAGCACCTCACTAGCACAAGCCTGAGGTGGAGTGCACACACCGCCCAGGATAAATGAGGAAAACTCCTGCAGTGAACAAAACAGTTTGCAGTTAATAAATGGTGTCTCCAAGTCCTTGTTACAAGTTTTCCCTAACACTGTAACATTGTTACACTAACCGTCATTTATGTAGAAATAGATTCCTCCTCCACTCATTTTCCTGGATAACTCCGTTATGCAATCCACTCTGTTCAGCTGGAACTCTGGCAGTGGTATTGTGTGTATTGTGATCAATTCACTGAGACGCATCTCGATGAAGCACAGAGCAGCAGAACATGAGAAGTCAGTTAGTCTGGTTGACGAGGAGTAGTTCATTCGTTTTGTTGGCTAGAGGGCAGAGATTCACTAGATGGATGGATGGGAGTGGCATACATTTACCCCGCTGGCATAACTTAACCAACTTAACTTTCCCCTCTGGCGTCTCCTCTAGCCAGGAGTCAGAGGAGCTGCTGCTTCCCTGACTAGAAATAATCCACACAACTTTTTCTGTCTGTAAAATGGGAGAAAAAGAACTTGGAGTGAATTGTATGTTTAAGAGCTCTTCTTTTGTGAAAGTATTCCAAGATGGTTCGCAGAAAACTGACAAAAAAAGACAAAAACAGCAAAAAGAACGGGAGCACACAATTGAGACTGCCATCTATACATGTTTAAGATGGTGGCGCGAACAGACACAGCTGCCCCTCTGTCTCTGAGTTGTGTGCCCAAAAATGTGTGTTCTAGTGTGTGTTCGTGATTGGGATATTTGAGTTTTGGTGCGTGTAGTTCAACGTCTAAGTTGCTCTCAAGATACAGTTGCCACTGCCTTATGGATACAAGGAATAGTTCAAAGCATTTCAACTTGGACCAGGAAGTCACAGAGGAACTTCAGGACCTGGGACTTCTCCACCAGATTCCTACATCACTGGACATGGCTACGTCACCACTTAAGATGATGCGCCAAAAGCGGTGTGAATGGAAGCAGAAGTGGGGCTAGGCTAGCAGCTAGCCCACACAGACCCATGATACCATCCCTCATTATGGCAAATGTACGCTCACTGGGCAACAAAGTAGACCACATACGCCTCCTGAGATCTGTGTGGCATGATGTGAGAGACTGCTGTGTTTTCATTTTTACGGAGACATGGCTCAATGACGACATCCCGGACTCCACTATCCAGCTAGCTGGGTTAACATACCACCGAGCCGACCGAGTCTTTGTGGAAGGAGGCAAGACTCGCGGAGGGCGAGTTTGTGTTTACATCAGCAACGCTTGGTGTCGGGACCCTGCTGTTGTTTATAAACACTGTCTCTTAGTTGGCGGAGTTTATTATTATCAAGTGCCGGCCTTTCTATCTATTTAGGGAGCACTCAGTAATTCTGTTGACTGTATTGTACATGCCTCCCACTGCTAACACCAGCGATAGCAGTGAGGCACTAATTGAACTCTATCAGGCCATCAGTGAACAACAGACAGCATACTCAGACGGATTCCTCACCACAGCTGGGGACTTTAATCACATGGATTTAAAGGTTTTATTGCCAAAACTGCACCAACATGTAGACTTTCCAATGAGAGGAGACAACACATTGGACCTTGTGTACACTACATGCAAAGGAAGAATACAAGGCCTCCCCCCTCCCCCACCTGGGTCTCTCTGGTCACATAACCATCATGCTGAGGCCTGCATACAGACCCAGAGTGAGAGTCATCATACCAACGCAAAAGGAGGTACATGTGTGGCCAGAGGGGGCTTATGCTCTGAAGCAGCGGTCCCAACCCCTGGTCCCCGGCCCGGTACCGGTCCGTGGATCATTTGGTACCGGGCCGCAAAGAAAAAAATTTCGTGGTTAAAATTATAGTTATTTTTCTTTCATTAGTCTTAGTTTGAAAAACAACTGTTTCCAGCAGAAGGGTCACAGACTGCCAGCAAAAAGAAAGCTGCATTTAAAAGAAAATTCCATGATTCCTACCTAAGTTACGGGTTCATCGCAACAGGTAATACACAGGCTCCACACCCGCTATGCATAATTTGCGGTGACCGACTAGCTAATGAAGCCATGAAACCCTCAAAAATGCTTCGCCACATTGAGACAAAACACCCTGCGTTAAAAGACAAGCCCTTGGAATTTTTTTCTAGTTGCAGGGTAACAAGCCCAGGGCTCCCACTGACTCTGCATTATGGTAAGTTGATATTATAGTGTAGAATTGTTGTAATTGCCTAATATAAAGTGTAATTGTTGCATTCAGGTTGCATACTATGAATTGACAAAGGTTTTTGTTATTGGAACCCCGCGCCTCTACCCAGTCTGCGGAAAAATTTTCATGCATGAAACCGGTTCCTGGTACAAAAAGGTTGGGGACCGCTGCTCTGAAGGACTGTTTTGACACTACAGGACATTTTCAAACAAGCAGCCTCTCATAACAATCTCATAGACATAGAGGAATACACTGAGGCTGTCGCTGCATATATCACAAAATGCAAAATTATCACTCTTCATGCTAACCAGAAGCCAATGACGACAGGTGAGGTTCACAGACTCCTGAGGGCTCAGGATGCAGCCTTTAGGGCCGACGACACCGCAGGCCTAGCAACTGCAAGAACCAACCTGTGCCATGGAATCAGGGAGGCAAAATGTCAACACAACAAAAAATTATCTGGACACTTGAGCAACATTAGAGATGCACAGTGTCTCAGACGAGGCATCGAAACCCTCGCAGGATATATATATATTGTTGTGGTGGTTTCAAGCGAGAGATCAGAAGAGTAGACAGCACTGTGCAATTAGAATATGTGTGTGTATGTTTTTCAATGTAAAACATAAAATGTGTGTGGTGATGTTACTTGACCAGTAAAGCATCAGGTATGGCTTTGACACAAGGTGGTTATGCAGTATAAATTGGTTTCAAACATACTGGTAAAGTTCGCCATGCTCCTATCATGCCTTCCTGTTTAACCCTTTTCTTGTGTTCATTTCATGTTAAACAACTTTGCGTTCCTGGTCAAAAGTGACCGTTCTATTAAGACTCATAAAAAGTGCAATAATACATATAATATCACTATTGTGTTAGAATGTTTTTATCAAGTAAAGTTCTGGTGAACATTCCAAGTTTTGAACTTGTGTTTGTTATTTATGGCCTTTATGCCTCATTGATCTGAGCTTGCCAGGGAACCCAAGGTGTGTTCATGTGTGTGCGCGTGTACATCTGAGAAATGAGGTACCTGAGCTCAGTTTTTAACACTAATTGTTGCCTCCCCCATTCATTTCTATTGACTGGTCATTTTTGACCAAGAACACAACACAAAGGTTAAGTGGATCATGATGAAGCCCAGTGGAATTTGAGTTTGACTGTTGACAGATCTTAAGATGTGAGACTTAGTGAGGGAATGACTATACCGTGGCAGACATTGTTCATTTTGTTCTTTGTGCAGGTTGAAGAGGGATGGTGGAACGGCAGCTTGAATGGCAAATCAGGACTGTTTCCCTCCAACTTTGTTAAAGAGCTGGACGTCATGGGGGAGGATGGAGACTCCAATGACACCACAGCAGACGAAGCTGGTAAAGACAGAGACAGAAAACAAGCAGGACTTCATTAATGTGAAGGGTGCAGTTGGAAGAAAATTAGATGATTGCTGGAATTTTATGTATGGTTAGGCACATTACCAAAACAAAGCTCAAGGCAGATGCATTTTCTGCAGTTCAGCAAAGACGTTGTTTTTCTTGTTCTTCTATTAGACTTAATTATGGCTGTCAGTCTGAGCAGAGTGCTTTCAGAATGCAGTTAATGTCAGCAACACCGAATGAGAGCAGTGCCAATAAATTCTTTAGTACTGTATCAACTAGTTCAGCTCTATTCAGCATATGTCAACAACTGCTTATGTCATTGACAACAACTTGTGCTTCAGGCATATATTCTCTCACCAGATTCTGGAGAACTGGTTATGCAGAGTATTTTTTTTCATCATCGCCATTAACGTCAGTGCCAGTAGAGTTGATGTTAACAGCTTTGGAGCTGTTTGTATGGGATTGGAGTCAAGTTGAAACAAGTCTCCACAAGAAGTTTGGCTGAGTCTTTAATCTGCAGCTGGATGTTTATAAGTCTTCTGTCTGCTGTGAGGTTACATCAGTATGTGCATGTCTGCTTTTGAATGTTTTATTGTTAGGAAATATTTAATGTTGAGCTAAAATATGATATAACTTCACATCTTGCATCTCAAGTCTTTAATGCATATGATTAACAGTGTAATCGTGTAAATCCTTGGTTACACATAGACACAATTTTAGCTCCTTCTGGTGGCCAAAGGTGGATAAAATGTGTATTTTCCAAAACAAATCATTCAGTATTGCAGCAGGAGGGAGAGCAGTAAGATGTGGGATTAATGTGGATTAATTCACCCTCTCTCACCCTGTTGAATTTCTTTCACAGATGGAAGTGGAATGGAAATCACCACTCCCACATCACCCCAATCTTCAGGGAATGGAGTTATTGCTCAGCCCAAGAAGGTCCGAGGTGTTGGCTTCGGAAATATTTTCAAAGAAGGGTCGGTCAAACTAAAGGTCCGACTGCCCAGCAGTGACTCAGAGGAAAGGAAGGAGAAAGTAAGAGTAATACAAACTCAAAGTATACAGTATATTTACAACAGAAGTGGTCAGAGACATTATTTCGGTTGTCCCGCCTGTCTATTGCGGTTGTCATAAAATCACGAGACGATATTTACCAAAGGTTTACAGGCTTTATCTGGGCTAAACAGGAAAAAAAATAAAGAAAAAGAAAAAAAAAAGTTTATATTTACCAAAGGACTAAACTAGAGTTTTGTACTTGTATATACAGTGAGGAACAGAAGTATTTGAACACCCTGCGATTTTCCAAGTTCTCCCACTTAGAAATCATGGAGGGGTCTGAAATTCACATTGTAGGTGCATTTCCACTCAGAGAGACAGAATTTTTAAAAAAATTTCAGGAAATCACATTGTATGATTTTTAAAAAATTTATTTGTCTAGCACTGCTGAACATAAGTATTTGAACACCTGAGAAACAGCAAGAATTCTGGCTCTCAAAGACCTGATACTGTGCCTTGAAAAAGTCCACCTCTACTCCACTCATTAATCTAAATTAGTAGCACCTGTCTGAGCTATTTAAAGACACCTGTCCACCCCACAGTCAGTCAGATGCCAACTACTACCATGGGCAAGACCAAAGAGCTGTCAAAAGACACCAGAGACAAAATTGTGGACCTCCACAAGGCTGGAAAGGGCTACGGGGAAATTGCCAAGCAGCTTGGTGATCAACTGCTGGAGCAATTGTTAGAAAACGGAAGAGGCTAAAGACGACTGTCAGTCTCCCTCGGACTGGGGCGCCATGCAAGATCTCACCTCGTGGGGTATCACTGATGATAAGAAAGGTGAGGAATCAGCCCAGAACTACAAGGGAGGAGCTGGTCAATGACATGAAGAGAGCTGGGACCACAGTTTCAAAGGTCACTGTCAGTAGAACACTAC